AGACCTGGGTCCCCTCTCCTGGCCTGGGACCCTCTCTCTCTCTCAGACCTGGGTCCCCTCTCCTGGCCTGGGACCCTCTCTCAGACCTGGGTCCCCTCTCCTGGCCTGGGACCCTCTCTCTCTCTCAGACCTGGGTCCCCTCTCCTGGCCTGGGTCCCCTCTCCACTTTACTCCTCCCATGAGCACAAGGCAAGAGGGCACTCTTTCCATCTGTTTGTGCCTGTTTCCCCACGGCCGTGGGCGTCTGTGAGCTGCTCTATTCCGCCTTCACTCTGTTAGTTCCTGCCGGGTCCCTCCCTGACCCAGCGAGGGTACTGACAGCTCCCACTGCTCAGAACGAGCCCGTGACGACCACAAGCCGGGAGGGAACTGGAAGCCCGGTCCCTGTTCCAGGTGGCCCTGGTCATTTTCAGATGTAAAGGCCCCTGAGTCCCTGAGGCCCCCACAGTTTTTCCTCCTGATGCCTCCCAGGGTAAGGAGCAGAGCTCTGAAATCAGACTTACTAGTTACTATCCTGGAACCAACGATTTAGGAGTTTATTGATGAAGCGTAAACAGTAATAATGCGACAAGAATTAGGAATGGGGTAAACGCAGTGAACGGCGTTCAGCAGCAGCTCGTGGTCATCGAGCTGCCAAGGCAACGTGGACAGGCCGGTGCCTGCAGGTCCAGCACGCCTGCTGTGACACAGGGCCTCCTGCCCTGGGCCAGGTGCGCGTTCACACTCGGAGCCCGGGTACCTCTCAAAGCCACGTGGGAAGCCTGGGAAACACCGCCTGTCCCTCAAGCACCCAGGGAGAACCAGGGCTGTGGGATGTCAGCACGCCGGGAAGTCCAGCTCTAAGGCAGGATACCCGACGAGCTAGCAGTCAGGGTGCAAAGAGGCGAAGTGCCCAGTCACAGTCACCCGCATCCGCGATGGGGTTCGGGTGGTGACATTTTAGGGGGATGTCTCCTCTCGCACAGAATAAAACCACAAAACTCTACTTGAGCTCTCTGCCCAGGGTCTCTAAAATGGAGAAAGGCAGATGCTAGAATGTTCCGTCTTGTTCCTGAAAATACATGTAGCGCACATGCGCACACGGATACCGAGTTGGAACTGGAAGAATAAATAGGGAAACAAAGAACACTGTTGGCAGGAGGGCCTGTTGCTTTCCTAGAAATCCTTTCAGTGATTCACCCACAGGCCATGCAGCTTTCTAGAAGTCTCAAGGCAGCAACAGTGATGGAACTCACTGCTTCCATTTCTTGAAAAACGACTAACGACCTCCCTTGCCTTTTGATAGTTTAACGGCATCATAAAGACTATCCTTGGTCCCAAAGATGTGAATGGGACTCGGTTCTAAGCGCGTTTCCTTCTCTCTCCTTTTGCCCCCAATTTAAAAGTGCATCAGTGTTTAAAAGCAGATACAAAATGTGCCCCAAGCTATACAGTCCTCCTTCACCAAGGGTCTCCTTGGCCGAGTCAAAGGGGCCCCCCATGCCACTGGCCACTCTGAGACTCCGCGGTCTCATCGGGGACTGGGCCCACGGGGCCTCCCCTCCGGGTCAGACCCGGGGACTCCGTCACCCCAGCTCCTCTGCTGGTCTTCCACCTCCTCCACTCTGAACACCTGACGTGGCCCACCCGGTCCGCCAAAAACAACGTGACGTGAGCAGACACCACGGCTGTCCGCAGAGGTGGCTCCCCGTGCAAAACATGATCCCCAAGTTCAGGTGCAAGCTGCCCCCACCCCACAGTGTAAGCCCCATTGCAACAGCTCCCCACTGAGATAGCTTCGGTTCGGCTATCTGATCTAGGTGTGACCAGTACACACCTTGACGTTTCCGAGGTGACAAAAGTCCGCTAAGGGAGCCCAGCCCCAAAGGCATGCGAGAAGTCCAACTAGTTGGAGGACACAGAATTTCATATTTATTATGAATTCTGCCATTGAAACTCTGTGGCTTGGGGGTTCCACGTTCTTAAGCTCACAAAGAGGGAAAGGCAGGGGTGAGCACTGTCCCTTAGCAGAGATGAAGGACATGGAGTGGCCTCGAACCACGAGTCTAATCCAAACCCACGTCTACTGTGGGACCTCGAGCAGATGGCTTAAACCCTCTATAACTTGGTTTTTTTAAAAAGGGGGTCTATATAGCATCTATTCATAAAAGTCTCTGCAAGGAGTCAATAAACAAATTGCGTGTAACATATCTAGCATGTGATAATCACTGAATCAGTATCATTATTGCTCATTAAAAGACATTCATCTTGATTCCAAACGGAAATGCAAAGCAATTGGTGAAGAGCATTCTGTCAGGTAGAAACCGTGAATGCCTCTGTAATCCTGAATGATGGAGAGCAAAAAGGCAAATCATAGCGGTGAACAGGGGAAATGCGCGAGGGGGGAAACGGGAATCCGACTTACCCCTAACACCCCAAAGCGTTCGGCCAGGCTCCAACCACAGAGAAAGTCAATCTCAAACTTGTGGTTCAGAACCACGATGGCATTTTCCTTTCCATACTTGGGGTAGGCCTGGGGGTCTGTGTGGATGACGCACTCCGTGCCCGACCACCACTCCAGCAACATCACCAGCTCTGGAACAAACCACAACAACAGACAAACGTTTATTTAGCGCATGCGTGGTGAGCAAGGCTCAGTTCTGCTGGGCTGGGCTGGAGTCAGGCTCTCCCCTCCCGGCTGGGGCAGAAAGCAACTTGTAAGGGTCAAGGTCTGCATCATTGCCACCCAGGCCCCCATCCTTGACATGGTTTAGAAGCAGAAGGGGAACAAGAAAGACTCCACTGCAGGATCCAGGGAAGGAGAGGAAGCTTGGAGAAGCCAAACGACTTGCATTCCTTGATTAAGTGCCTTGGGGAGAAGTCAGTGAAGAAGCCCAACTCCATCAGGAATGCGCGCCCTCGTGTTTACGGAGCTCTGAGAGGCAGCATGAGGTGATGCCCAGAATTCTGAAGATCCTGGGAAATGACTAATCAGGATACTTACAAACTACGCCAGAGAACACTAAATACCTCATTTGTCTCTCCTGTTCATGATGCTCGTGTGCACCCAAACTAATGAAGACCCAGGGTGCAGGGAAGCGAGGCTCCATTAGAGCCGTTATACTGAGAGCCTGAATGAAACTTAAAATACTCTGTGTAGGAACTTGGAAAACAGCAGTGCTTCCTGCAGGCAACAACGACCCACTGGGACTTTATTCTTCAGTGATGGCTTGTAGTCCTGGTGACCCCTTCCCAGCCTGGCTGCTTCAGGAAATGTCTATCTATATAGTACAAATTGCCCAGAGAAAGAGTTGTACATTGGGTAAAAACTGTTATCTACATAGAAGCTTTAAGGAGAATTTGGAAAGCTGAAGGTGTTTAACAGGGGGATGGGTGGGTGTGAGTTTTCTGCCAAGGCTGTAGCCCTGTTGCTCCCCGGTTAGCGGGGTACACATTTAGCAGAGGACTCTCTCACCACCCCGTCCATACACACATACACACGCACCTACATGCACGTGCACACACACGCAGACAAGCAGGTGCAAGCCTGACTCCAGGCAAACCTACGTTTTAAAACCTTTCTCCTTGAGGTTGGAGACAGATGCTTTCTAATAGGTGCACTAGAACTCTCTAGAAGGCATCACGGGCTAGTTTCTAGGCAGTCCTAATCTTTAGAATGGGTCACTTCACGGGTTCTGCGAGGCTTCAGGTAGAGGACACAGCGGGGACAGAACACAAAGCTCAGAGGAAAGTCCCAGCAAGTCAGCCACTCGGGATCCAGCATCATCATTCAAAATGAACCAACACCCTCCCCTTACTGGACCATAAAGTAAGTGTCTGCCTGTTCCTTGGAGAAAACGCCAAGTCCGCAGTCAGTTGTCCCCCAGGTGGTGACATCAGTGGGACCTCACGTGGCAAGTCAGGGAAGGAGAAGGTAAGTGTGTAGGGAGGGCGGGAGGGACAGGCAGTACCGCTGGCCAGGACCAAGGGACAGTTTGTTACCACCCAGTAGAAGGATGCTAACATTGCTGCACTGATTTCCTCTAAGAGACAGGATGGGCTGCACCAGTCTACCCACGACTAGCCATAGAGCACTGATAAACCCCAAAAGCAGAACAACACAGAAGTCCGCCAGATAAGGGTGACCATCCCTGTGAATCACATCCCACTGTCGTTCTGCAAGTAGCTCCCAGATGCCTCTCTGGGCCCCGCCGCTCCCCACGGGCGGCGAGGCGGGGCCGATGCACACCTGCCCCAGCACCATCCCCGGGACCTCAAGCAGCTTGTGATCCAGTGTGAGAGCAGCTCCCTGAGGACGAAGCGCAGCCCTGGGTGCAAGGACTGCATTGTCTGGTTCTTCTGATGCTGGCCTGAGTCCAGAACCCAGCACAGCGCTGGCATATCGATGCTCGTAACAAACCCCAGTGACCTACTATGTGCAAGCACCACGCCAGGTGGAGGTGTGGCCTGGATGCCTACCCTCCTGGAGCCGACCGCCTGGGGTGGGGGGCAGTTTTCCATTCACAAGGCGGTGGGACGGGGAAGGAAAGACTTGTTCACAGGACGGATGGTTGCTGAATGTCGTATTCATGCATATGGGGGTCAGACACACCCGGCTCCAATCCTGGGGCGTCCCACTCACCACTGGCTCATTTCTCAATGTCCCCTAAGCCTCCCTGTCCTTGTCTGCAAAACAGGGATATGAAAAGCATTTAGACTTTCTGCCAAGCTGAGGTTATTAAATCAGATGATGCCGTCAAGGCAGCCAGCATAAAGCGGCACATAGTAGGGAATCGGTGAGTGGCCAGCCTTCTATTACCAGGATACGCAAGGCTCTGCAACCACGAAAGGCAAGAGGGAAGGGGTGGGGGAGGAGAGCCAGCCGGAGCCAGACCGAGAGAGAGACAGAGGGAGAACGTTCCAGCGGCTTCTGGACTGCAGTGGGGAGCGATGATTTATGGCTTCATAATGAAGGCAACGGGAAGCCACTGGAGCATTTTTAAATAGGCGCACAGCAGCATCTCATTTGCATTTTGAAAAGCTCACTCTGGCTGAAGTGGGAACAGACTGAAGAGCCGGGCAGAAGCGGGGTGGGGGGGTGCCGGGGCCCAGGGACGGTGCCAAGGTCCCCCAGCTAACAGTGGAGAATTCGGTTCTCAGGGCACTATTAGCCATATAACTAAGCACTAAATCTCACCGGGAAGAAGAGTTTTCTTTCCTTTTACCAAAGGCTTTCAATTTGTTATTCACAATAAATACATTTATAGAGTCACATTGTGAAAGAATTTAAACATCCAGAAGTATATAGAGGAAAAGGTGAAATTCCCTTTGATGGCTTTGTGACATGTCCATTAGGTTAGGCTGGACTACGTTTCCCAGACTCCTTTTTGGTTTGTTTGTTTGTTTGTTTCCAGTTACGGGGGTCCATGAGGGACAATCCTGGGAGGTCTGACAGGTGGAAGGAAAGTGTAAGTCACTCATGTTGCTGCTGATCATCTCAGCTCTAAGCGGCAGCCGAGTGGGGCCCTGCCATGCGCCCTCCCCTTCCTAACACCCCCCTCCTGCAGCTTCCCTGACTCCTGGGCCAGGTGTGCGTCTGCTGGCCCATGCAGGGCCCTCATGCCAGCAACACCAGACGCAATGACAACTGACCTGGGATTCAGTCTGTCCTCGCGGGGCTTCAGATGGTGCTTGGGGTTCCAACCTCTTGATCTCCTCGTCTTACATCCATCACACCTTCCTGCCTGCCTTCCCCGGGGCTTCAGGCTCCAACATGAGCTGCAGAGACCACACCCCCAGCTGCAGACACAGACTGGCCAGCCCTGTGGTTGAATAAGGACCAGTCCCTGCAACCCGTCGCTGCACAGGCGGCCACAGAGCTCCCAGCATTTCTGCACCCCATGGAACCCTGATGAGGCACGTCCTCCTCCCTGCCCCCAACCTACTCCCTTGTCCAGCGTTAACCATTAGAAAGAGTCTGGAAGGAAGCCTCCTAGTCCTGCTCCTAGGCATTTACACAAAGATACACACACATACACACATGCACTCATGGGTTTCCCACCCACAAATGGGTTCATACTTTATCGACCTTTGTAAAAATATACATATAGTGATTTTCTCCAAATGGTATATTCTGGATCTTTCCCTGCTGACATATATTCATAGTGATGTTAGCAAATATTGGCTGGGCTCCAGCCGTGTGCCGGGGATGGCTCCAAGGGCTTTGCACGTCGTATTGTGTGAAATCCTCACGTTAACCCTCTGAGGCTGGGAGGCACTATTATTATCCCTGTTTTAATATATGTTCAATATATGAAACTGTCATTTTGGGGTTTTTTTTTTTTTTTTTTTAGGTCAAAAAGAGCCAGGATGATGGCATCATAAAGAGTAACACAGGGGCTGCAAGGCTGTTCGCGCCATGGACATACATGATTTATTCGGTCATTCTGCCACTGATCAGCATTTTCCCCCTTGCTTTTTTACTGTTATAAACACTGCAATAAACACCCTTGAAAATGCACATTTTAGACAAAAATATCTGTGAAAGTATTTCTCCAGCATAGAGATACACAAAAGTAGAATTATGGATTGAAGAGTACACATATTTAAAAATCGTACAGATATTTCCAGATCGGCCTCCGAAAAGATCTACCGATCTGCACTGGAACCAACAGAGCAGGAGAGGGTGTGTGTGCTGCCGCCTGGACCGATACTAAGCTCCTCGCAGGCTGGGGCCACGCGTGTCCTTCGGTAACTATTCCCACGTGGAGCAGGCGGTAATGCCAATGACCCAATGACCTTGTGACATCCTGCAGGCGGCACCTGGGTCTCCTCTCGAGTCTCTGGCATCCCAACACCCAACATGGTAGATGTGCAGAAAGCTTTTATCTTTAGTTGAATGACTTCCCCGCTGAAGTTTTCATTGGATATTCTTATATAGGGAATGACACACGACTTATAAATACCACCATGAATTAAGGTTTTCTTTACCCTGTGGTATGGCTGCTCCCATCTTCCTAGCTGAAGGGCACCTGCCTGGTAAGGCTGGTCCCATGTGAGGGGGGACATCTGTCATTTGAGTGAGATGCACCCCGCACCATGGCGCCCGGGCTCGGGGCAGGCAAGGCACCCCTGGTCCTCACGCACGGGGCTCTGGGGGGGTCTGCCAGCAGCAGCGTCTACAGCCCACCTTGCCTGCTCCCATCACCTGCCCAGGGTGGCAGCAGATCCCAGGAGGGCTTCAACCCTCTCCCTCTGTGAGGGCTCCAACCCTCTCCCTCCCTCGTCTCCTTGCACTCAGGAACCTCCAACTCAACGGAGGAAGTTGCCAAAGGGCACCGCGCAAACAATTCTGATCAGGACTTTGGGCGGGTGACTGTCGCCAAGGACGCCCGCGAGGAAGCAGCGTCCTTCCCTTGTGGATTTGGGGGAAAGTCGCTTGCCAGCCGCCGTGGATTGCACACCTCTCAGCTGGCATTACGATGCCGGGAGTCAACGACAAACACTACCTGAGCAAATCGGAGAGAAGCGAAATAAGGTCTTTGCCCCCAAAGCATTTACCATCTCACCCGTGTACCCAAACCCACCCTCGTGCAGCGACCAGGAAAAAGCAATAGGAGCTCTGAGCCGACCAGAACGGGGGCCAGTCGTTGAGCAGTTAATTAAAAGATAGTACAGCTAGGAATGGAAACAATGCACCCGAGCAAAACGGAAGCAGAAGCAGGGGGGCGGGGGGCTCCTTCTGACAGCGGCAGACAAGGGCCCGGAGGCTGCTGTGCTAATGTGAGGGGGTTCTCTGTGAGCTGGCGACGCTCGCGGGGGCTCCCCGGACCCGGCTCAGACCACCGTGATGCGGCAGTCCTACCTTGGCTATTAGGGTGAGTGAGTGCAGGGTCTCTTGGTGGACATGGCCCCTCAGGGCCCGGCCCCTCATGTCCCCAAGCACAGAGAGGACACTCTGTCTGGGCCCTGAGCCCCAGACTGTAGGAAGCCACAAGGAGACGGGAGAGCTGAGGCCCATGCCCAGGAAGACCGCTCGGGAAAGTGGCTGGGATTTGACTCCTCCAGGTCAGGTGCTGTCAGAAAAAGAAAACGTGCAGACCTCCAGGTTCCCAGGCCTAGCCCGACTGTGTGCGGTGACTGTTTGGTGAGCCAAGGAGCCTGTTACCCTGAGGCTGAGTTGCCCATGGGGAACTAATGGCCATGAGACAGAAAGGCAAAGAACGGCAGAAAACTCTGGAGCATGAAGAAGCCACTCTTGCACCTCAGGTATGTCCTCATGGAGCACCTCATTACCGAGAGCGTCTGGGGATGCCTCCCATTTCTCCTTGGTCAGACTGTTCCTGCTCTCCGAGAAAGCGAGTGGTAACTGGTCCACGTAGGATGGATGACGGTTGCAGGGGCGTCATGCACAGAGCAAGGCATCCCCACCTGGCATCCTCAGACTCTGGAATCCCCTCTCACCTGCTCGCTGGTTGGGCACGTGTGGCTATAGGTTAGAATCAGCCTTTATTGATGGCAATGAAAAAACTTTGGTCCTTGACCTCAGAAGGGACCCGGGAGATGCCCTTCCTTCTTCTTCTCTGCCTCTCTCCCAACCAAGAGTCCTTTCCATTCTGACCTGGAAATCCTTTTATCCAGGGGCACTGCCTCAGGTTAGGGACTTGGCGGGCTTTTTGCTTGCCTCTGCAGTGGCCCAGACGCCATGGTGACAGCGGGCTCTGCACTCCTGGGGCCTCTGGTGGCTTTGCAGTGGCCCAGCCAGGAGCCCCCACTGGGCCCTGAGCCCCTCTCAGCTTCCTCACCTAGCTGGCCAAGTGGGGTGACACCCAGGAGTTCAGTCACTTCGGGACTCACATTCTGTCTGGGTCCTCGAGAACATTCCCATATCACCATAATCATAGACAGGGCTGCCCCAGCCCTCAAGCCCTTTTACTTTGACCTCAGAATAGATCTAGATGGAAAGATACGTATTTGTTCAAAGATGGAGGAGATGCATGGGACACAGGAGAAAGGGAGGCATCCCCCACACAGTGCGAAACTGTTTCTAAAGGTAGGAGAGAGCACCTGGGTGGCTCAGTTGGTTGAGCATCTGCCTTCAGCTGGGGTCATGATCCCTGGGTCCTGGGATTGAGCCCCTGCTTCGGGATCCCTGCTCAGCGGGGAGCCTGTTTCTCCCTCTGACTGCCGCTCCCCCTGCTTGTGTGCGCTCTCTCTCTCTCTCTCTCTCTCTGTGTGTGTCAAGTAAATAGGTGGCATCTTAAAAACAAACAAAAAAAGGTAGGCAGGGAAGCTGGTTTCCTCTGGTCCCCAGCGCCTCACTACCTTATCACTAAAACTGGTTTCGTCCCATCCTCCCTCCCTTCCCCTCCCCTCCAGTCCCCACATCACAGACACCTGAGTCATCCCGCGCCCTTCCCTCCACCCCGGGCAGCCTCAGCCTGCACGTTCCTTCCCCGCAGGAGGGGAAGGGACGCCCCGTTCACCTGGTGCTCCAGGGATGCCAAGTGAGCCAGCAGGGCCTTTGGGGCAGTCAGAAACTTTTAACAGACAGGATTAACGACCAAGCTTTCTACAGTACGATGCAGCACTTTTTGATAGTTTTGTCCTATTTAAAAACTTTCAGATCGCCCAGTTTTGTGGTCTTCATTTTTCCTGTAGTGACTCCCTGCGGGCTCAGCCAGCCCCGAGTTCTACACCAGGGGCCACACCTGGCTTGGCCAGTTGTGCAGACTCCACTTGGGGGAGGGGTGTGTGGTGCAGAAAGTGACCTGCACTGCAAACGCCCCATCTGTGGCCTTGATTTCTGGGGCCTGCGGGACGACCAGAGTTGGGTGGGCGGCCGTAGGGGCACTGGATCTGGAGCCCAGAGTTGTTTCTGTTGTCTCTGCTCAGCTTGATCACGGATCGGAAACGAGAAGTGGATGGATGAGAGGGAAAGTGAGGAGGGAGGCAGAGGTACCTATTTGGCTGTTTATAAGAACGAGGAAGAGGAGGAAAATGGGGAGGTCTGGGAGGGGACATGCTCCTTTCCACCTGTCCCGCACCTTTCACCTGGGGGACATCCATCAAGTCACAGGTACCCACCCGGCACTCTCTAGGCCCTGGGCAAAAACTGGAATAGAAATATGAAACTGAATAATTTGGGGAGCTGAGAAAACAGGAAGGTCTGGCCTCGGCTGTGGACCCCAGGGGGTCTTGCTATGAGCACGGAGAGACACACGCTATAAAAAGGAACAGACTTAAGTGACCGCACGCACCTTTCATGTTATGGGGCCTGATGCAGATGCTGGGATTTCTGATCTGAGACCAGATCTAGGTACTGGTCCCCGTCTGTCCACCTCCAGACCCTACTGGGCCGCTGCCTACTCCCCACGCCCCACTCACCGTGTCCCTAACCAGCTGCAAACGTGGCTGGAGCTGGTTCCTCCTGCTTCACACTTCTTTCTTCCCCACTTCCTGTCTTCCCACCTTCCTGTCTTATCCAGCCTTCCAAGGCTCAGCACAGGTCCCCGTTTCCAAGAAATCTCAGATCCCAGGCCACAGACCCGGGTTTTCCAAACTTCCTGATGCTAAGTGCGCTCCACTCACCGGGGCTCCTGCTGGACTTCCTTTTGTCTGCACCGTTTCCAGGGAGCGCGCCAGCATGTGCCTTCCTGCCGCAGGCAGCTCTCGGGGCTCCCTGCAGTCCCCACACACGGGGAGCCCGGTGTGCTCCCTCCACTTCAGTCCCAGCGCGGGGGCATTCCAGCTTTCCTCACTTCCGTGCCCAGACCATCGGACGATGCCGAAGCAAGACGCCCTTACGCAGACACACAGCACACCTGTGCTGTTAACGTCCATGGAAAACAATGTCTACAAAGGCTCTGCAGAATGGGGGAGGAGGAGGGAAAGTTTGGGAAGCCAGGCAGCAGGGCTCTGATGGAAACAGATCTGTTAGGAGAAAGCATCATGCAAAGCCATGTCTTTCATCCCTGTCCCCCTCCCGGCCCCCATGAAGTGCCTGTTTCTAGGTAGGCTTTGCCCTTAGCAGGGTACAGAGGGAATGGACTTGAAGCTCAAATTGTAAAAAGGTAATGTTGCTACCTTGTAACTTTCCCCTGAAGCCTTGAGCACGTGGCATCAAGGGGCCACGAAAACAGATGCCTGAAGGAGGCAGGGCGAGGGTTGGGGGGCTGCCGCCCCTCCCTTCCCCATCATACACACATCCTTCCAAATGAAGGCAAGGGGAATTGGGCAGCGGATTTTGAGCCAGGGGTGGACGGAGAACAGGCAGTAAAGCGCTCCAAGACTTTAAAGTACGAACAATGGAGTGAATAACGTCAGGGGTGGAAAATCAGCTTTTTATCAAGCAGAGTCAGGCTCTGCTTCCAACCGGGTCTATCTTTCGGCAAGTCCAAACGTCAAGAAATATGACCATCTTGAGTGAGGAGTATAAAAGCCAGGAGAAGCCCTAGGCTTGCCACCCCCAATCAAAACTTTCAGGGGGAGGAGAGGGGAAGGAAGGGTCTAGAACCCAAGTCCCACTGCTCCACTCTGATGCCCTGATGCCTGGCTCCTTGAAACTCCCTTCGGGTGAGCTGCTCAGAGATTACTGAGCTGAGGCACTGGTGTCACCTGATTTCCCAGTCCTGGGAATGTGACTGACCTTACTTACCCAGTCTTCAAATCCTGAGCCCACTGGGTGCCCAGAACAGTTGGAGGTGCTTGAATGGGGCAGGGAGCAAGCAAATTCCAGCAGGGGAGACACAAACACGCAGGTACAGAAACATATAACCTGGAAGATGGCTGTCAGGCCTGTGGGCAGCAGGAGGGGAAGGGGGCCAGAGGGGGGCGGGAAGCCGATCCCTCAGGAGAGCTCCGAGGAGGACTTTTGGGCCGTCACAGCAGTTTAGTGCAATCATGCCACGATCGAACTACATATGGCCTGAGCCAGACAAGGGCTGGTTTTGTACTTGGGGATGTTTCCAGTGCCTGGGAACTAGGAACACACTTAAGAGGTGACTGGCAGCCGCAGGGGGAATAACGTCAGCAGGTTCAGTTTGGGGACCAGGGACAGCGAGTGGGCTGTGTGATTAGCCAGGGAGAGGGCAGAGAGTGTGGGCACTTGTAGGGTGAGTTGGGTTCTGGCAGGTGGAACAGACAGGGCCTGTGGTAGGCTGGATGGGGTACGGGAGAAGAGAAGGTTAGGGAGAGATTCTAAGGTTCATTCCTGCCCTGAGCAGCTGGTCTGGACCCCCTGGGGAGAGAGCTGAGAAACAAGGGTCAGGGAGGGAGGGGCCGGTGGTGGGGACACAGGGGCTGGGGTTGGGACACATCAGTCAGGCGAGGGGATCCTGCAGTCCTGGCTAGGACTGGTGTAGTGGTAACAGGGCTATCCTACCCTGGCCTTCGAGCCTCACCCTGGCACGGCACACCCTTGGGTGGCTCTGTCCCCATTCCCTGCCCCAACTCTTCTCTCCCAAACCTGCCTGTCATTCCCCTTCAAACGCTTTCCCACTCAATCACCAAAGGAGGTTCCAATCCCTTCCAGGTGCTGGGCAAGATGAGAAATCGAACTTCAGCAGGTCGGGAAGCAGCAGTAGCTCGGGATAAGCAAACACCATTAGCAACCAGTTTTGTTCTGTGAAAACTATGCTCCACTGTGAGGAGGCACACGGCCCGCAGTGAGGAAAGGCACTGCCGCGGGGACTCCTCTTGGAGAACCACTGAGTCCGATCTAGCCAGCATCCATGTCTAACCCCCAGGCTCCCATGGAGGGAGGGAGGAGCGGGTGAAACCGCACCCTGGGAGCACTCACACAGCCAGAATGCAGGACAGAGGCAAGAAGGGGAAAAAATAAAAAAAAAGAAAAAAGAAGATAAAAAAAGAAAAAAGAAAAAGACATAACAAGTGGGAGGACCCTATTTAAATCCTGAGTTGAACACTCCAAATGTTAAAAACAAAAACAAGACAGCTCGGAAATCCCTGGAGAAATCTGAATCTGGATGGTATCACACGGTGCCGAGAGGCATTAATTTTGCTAGTGGGGATAATGTTGGTTTTTTTTTTTTACAGGGTCCTTATTCTTTAGAAGACATGCCTTGTGGTAATTCCGAGTGGCATTTCAGGACACACAATGTCTGGGAGTCACCTGAAAAACCACAGCCTCTAAGACGAAATACTTAAAGTCACATCGAGTGCCATGAATACGGGGCTTCCTCCCATTCCTCTCTACTCATGTTTATTTATATGTTCTGTAATTTTAAAAAAAAGTGAAAGGAAACACGTTCCCTCTCCCACACAAGCATACGTGGAGGAGGCAATGAGTGCAGGGTCAGGGGGTTCCCCAAAACACTCTAGTCCTGCCTCAAGCATTCACTGCCACTTCTCTAGAGGCAGCGAGGAGAAAGAGACAAAGACAAACATCTTAGCAAGATACCCACGTGTGAGATGCAGAGCAAGCCTGCAAATGGATTTCCATTTTTTCATTTTAATTTTGGAGAGGGATGAAGAGTAAAATACAATCTGAGAATACTTTGCACTTCAATTCCGTTCTATTAAGCGATTTAGAGGAAGGTCTAATGTTCTCTGAGTGAAAGCCTCCATCTCTCTGCTCCCCCTCTGCTCCCTCTATGGAGTAGAAACGAGCTCTCATAATATGCTGCTTCTCCCCTGTCCATGCTGTCACCACGTCAAGTCCAGGCCACAGAGGCTGGGCCCCCGAGCCTCACCTTGTCCTGCAGAGTGACTTTGGGGAGCTCCAGTCCCCCATCTCACCCTCCTGATGTCTAAAGTGGGGACAATGGCACCACTAGCTTGTGGTGATGCTCCTGTGTCCGTGCTTGGTAAATAAAAGCTAGGTGACTGCTTGGTGATAGTTATTGGCTGTGGACCATGTTTCTGACCTTGATCAAGTGATTCCATACTTGCTAAGTGTTTTTTCTGCCAGGTCCCTGTAAGTCATGGGGAGGAACGGGCAGATCTTCCAAACTCTCTTATAGAAGGGAGGTCAGTAACACCCAAGTGAAATGGGGATTTACCAAAACTTTTCGAAGGGTCTGGCTGACAGCCAACTCTTAAGAGAAAAGACCCTTACCCCTCTGCTTCCTCCAACCCCTCACACACTGACCCCTCCCTATTTCTCTGATTCAAGCCCTAGTGCCCTTCAAGACCACATCAAATCCCCATGACCCCAAATTCTGAAGCGCCCTTGACTCATGAAGGGGTCTCTGTGTCTTCTGCTTTGTGATGGCAAGTTCATGGGCTTCTGGTCTCTTCTGCCTTCTTGAGCTACGACCAAAATGGGCTATTTATGTTTCCAGAGGTGTCTGAAAGCTTAGACTTCTACTACCTGTTCCTAAGCTCTCCATCACAATGGTTCTCCCAGAATTACTTGCTAAGTTGTTTTAAGGAAAGAAGGTTTTCTTAAAACCAAGAAGTTTGAAGGCTGTAGTCATACTGAAGTGTTTACCTTCCCATACACACAAAGATGTTTTACCCTCGTTAAGCCTCAGGATCGGATGTTCTCCTTGAAGACAAGGGGCCTTTCCCTTTAACCTTGAATGGAAGTCACAATTCACAAGCTGGGTGTACACTATGTGCACGTGGGCAGAACCCACCTTCCACACTGAGTTTCTGCCAAAGAACCGGGAAATAAGGCACAAGATGGCATTCTCCGCATAAACCTTATAAAGACAAATGTTAAGGACAGTGCAGAGATAAACAGAAGTCACCTTAAAGAGAACAAAGGGTCTTCTGGCCAACACACAGACCCCAGCTTCAGGTAAAGAAATGGACACAGCTGCAGAAAGAGTGAATCGACCAAAAGGCATGCTGGTCACGCAGAAGCCAGGCCTGCCCACGGGGCTGATACCCCCTACCATTGCATAACCACGGAGTCCCTTTGCTGAGATGGCAGATGTTCCCATCTGCCTCCTGAATGTGATCTGAATTCCAGTGTACACCAGCCTTCAGGGCAAAAACGTCTTGATCAGCAAACGTGAGCATTCGCTTCATCTTGCTATCTCCACTAAGAAATAGATTATCCTCTGCATTCTTATGTTCATTCGTAAGTGTAGCATAAGATGGCTTAATATTAGTTCATTAGAGCCTGATTAAAATAATAATAATAAATCCAATGTCATAGCCTGAAACACTGAGGATCAGACTCTGGAATGTGGTAAGTCTTCCACATACAATCAGCCTAGGGGGAGGTCCATCCCTCCCCCTGCTATCTCTAGGGCTCCTCTACAGACAAACATTTATTTGTGGCCAGGAATTTTAACTTACGGCACACTCACGGGTCATCTGGTCAACCCACGACAGTCCTCCCTGCCATCCACTGTCATTGCCCTGGTCCCCAGTACTACCTCACCCTTGTCTGCTGCTATCCAACCTTTTTTCCATTCTCAGTGGTGCCCTGTCTCTTCCAATGGCCTTCTATCTGGTCTGTCTGCCTCCAGCGTCACAGTCTCCTCTCATCCAGTCTGTGCCCAATGCTCGCTTAACCTTTTCAACACGCTTGTTTGGTCCCGCCAATCCACAGAGGCGGTGAGACTCCTTAGCTGAGTCCTACTGCTTGGCCCACCCCAGCTCTTCCTCTTCATCCTACCACACACCTTGAGCTAAAGTCAAGTTCCTGGAACCACCTAGAACTCTATACCTACCCCCAAGGTCTGGCCTCTTCCTCAAGCTCATCTCTTGGCCCAAAAGCCCTTCCTTTCCATGGCACTTCAAAAGCTTCTCTGTTGACCGGGTCTCATCTCAAAGGAGATCTACCTGGGAAGTTTCTCTTGATGCCCTCCCCCCAAGCCCCTTCCATTACAAGTAACTTGTCTCTTCCAAATTCCCCTGTTTAGGGATTCTGTTCTGAAGTACACTGAAGTCCCACAGACCTGCCTTGAAATCTCATTCCATCGCTTTCAAGCTTTGTAACATCTGCCTATTACTCTACCTCTCTGGCTTTCAGATTTCTCTGTGAAAAAGGAATGATATACTGTCACTCGAAAAATTGCGGTACATTAAATAAGACGAATGTTTGCAAAAAAACCTCCAGGTAGTTGTGGTGATGGTCAGCTCGATTCTCTTCTTTCTCATGTTCTGGAGGCTTCCCTGGTAGGTATTCACCCCCCCAGAGAGCACGTGTTCCCTTGGGGGAGGGTGGAGCCTTGCCCATTTGGTTGCTTTGCTGCCTGAAGCACACAGAATAGGGCTTGTGCAGACAAATATTTGTCATTCGCCAACCTGGGTAAGGTGTGAGTTTCAGGCAAGAGGAAATTCACGAAGATCCAGATTATGTCAAAAAATCAGTCGAGGGTGGTAGGGTCCTCTAGCCCAGTACATTTTTTTTTTAAAGTAACATTAAGAAATTGCTAATCACGTTAAGAGTATTTAAAGCAAATTTTAAAAACTACTTAAGATAAATACCTGCTCTTAATTTTCATCTATTTGCTGCCTCCTCTCACCTCCCCTCATTGAGATATAATTAGGCCCATTTTCAGAACTCCGATTCATCATCCACAGAAAAATACATAAATTGTAATTTTGAAAAGGATACAAAAAATTAAGATGCTAAAATATACACAATTCTCAAAATAATTTGTAGGGCCATATGGAAGAAACCATTCTGGAATTGTTTTTTAAAACACCTTCTTTTGGGGCACCTGGCTGGCTCAGCGGGAGGGGCATGCGACTCTTGATCTTGGGGTATTGAGTTTGAGCCCCACTTTTGGTGCAGAGATTAAACCAAAACCAAAACAACAACAACAAAAAAAACAAAAAACAAAAACCTTTCTTCACATGAGACACTCCTCTCAGCCTAAGAGGCCACAGGGTACTTAACTTTGCCTTTTCTAGTAAAGGACCAACTTCAGTGGGGCAAATTTTAATTATCGAGAATATTGTATAAATCAGGTATTCTTCTCTCAAAAGGGATAAATGAGGCTACCAGTTACTTCAGAATCTGTCCTAACATCAGCCGTTTCAAGTGAAACATCTCACTGTGTTTTCAACAAGGTAAGTCTGTCCCTGTTAAGGTTGTCGGACAGAACACAAAGTGCCCAGCGCAACTGAATTTCAGATAAACTACAAGTTATTGTTCGGCATAAGTAGGTCTCGTGTAATAGTAGAGCAAAGATACACGTCTAGTAAAGTATGAGCCATGGAATATCTGGGGCGTACCCATGTGAGAAAATTCTTTGTTGTTTATCTGAAATTCAAATGTCACTGGGCAGCCTGAATTTTTGTTTGCTAAATCTGGCAGTCTGAGTCCTTACCACCGTCGCCATGGCAACGAGCACTGAGGAGGGTCTGGGAAGGCAGCTCTGGGTGGACTAGAAGTTGTCAGGGCTGACCGGCCTCCACGGTCCCACAGGCTCTCATGAACCTCGCCTCGTGGGACCCCGACGGCCCTCTGGGAGATGGGCCCGACTCCCTCATTCTACAGATGACAAGACGGAAGGAACAGAGCTCCCCAAGCTCACAATTCTGAGGGAGCAGGGGTCCTGCTGCCACCGGGGATTCCTGGAAGTTGGTGGCAGCGTTTTCTCACCTGTCTGGCCTCATGAATATGCAGAACACGTGTTTCGGAGAATCTTAGCAGCTGTTAAATAATAAACTTGTGCTTCAATTATATCCCAATATTTCAAAGGTCCCTGAGAAATCATTTTACTGGGGTTTGGTTGAGCTTTACCTAATCAAGGTTTGAAGCCAATGAGTGGGCACAACGACCCGTTACTGAGCCCTAATTTCCCAACAGCCCTGGGAACATCCAGGCCAAGAAGTAAGAGGCTTTGCCATCTGTGAGCGTCCCCGGTGATCCCCAGCAGCTCGGCTGTGACAGCTAATTGTTGTAGCCAGCAGAGCCCAA